GCTGCAAAGGAACCAATTTAAATTAAAGCTATTATTTTTATATTGTAGGCTTTTATATAGCTTTTTTTGGTTTTGTTTGATTCTTATTAAATTTGTATTTGAATCCACTGATAAGTTTTCTTCTCATAGCTGTTAAGTACACACCCAAGTGTGGCCGGGCACACTGTGTTTACCTCCCGCAAGATCAGGTTGTTCCCGCTTTCGTTTCTCGAGCCTAGTGCCATTTCAATCGCTTTGTAGTGTGTAACTTTTGTGAGACGCAACTTACTCCTTGGAAATTATCTGCAGTCAGTTATTTAGATTGGATAAGGATTGGCCCTTACCCAGCCACGAAAAAAAAGAAACAGGTAAGTTTTAGCATTATGAAAATGTCTACTACCGGAGGGGGGAATGGCGCCCTCCTTTCCCTGTTTCTACACCTCCCCTCATGCATGGATCGTCTCCCCCCTCTTCTGGGCAAGCGAGTGCTTGGATAAATGCAGAAAATATTTTCAGTTTTAGGCCGAACACGCAACGGCTCTAATCAAATATATATACAACTTACCAAAGCTCTCTTTAAGAAGTTGGTTCGCCCCGGTTCTTACAATCGAAATGGGGTATTATAACCAGTTTTATAGCTGTGTTTTTCATTAACTTGTCGTCTTGGCGCCTCCTTTCGATAATTACTTCATTAATTTGTAATCTAATACGGTTAGTCGTTAAACAGATATTGCGTAGCGCTTAGTGGAGTTGGGCGATGATGAGTCGTATTGCATGATCCTTGTACCAGTATGACGGAGGTTGTTACGCTTGCTGACTCTCGAATGTTAAGCTGGTCTCCTCCAACACCTGTGCTGGTGTACTGGTGTCCTCCAACACCTGTGCTGGTGTACTGGTGTCCTCCAACACCCGTGCTGGTGTCCTCCAACACCCGCACCAACACACAAACCTTCCCCCACACCTGGCATCTCCAGAGAGAACACAAATTTGATAAATGAAACTGGAGAATGACACTTTATTCAAGCCTTCAAATGGAAAACACGACAAATGCACAAGAGAAACGGAAACGAAGCTTGTAGAAATATCCCCTCGAATTTCCTTTTTCACTTGGGAACAGTGCTTTTAAATCAGTTACATCCTATTTCACCCCTGTCCTCACCTTCAAACAAAAATGACACTTTTTTTTAAGAGTTTTGTTCAGGAAAGATGTTAAGCAGATAATATCGTATGGTTAAAAAAATTTAAATGAAGAACGTTTTGGTGTATTCTACACTAGGAGTTATGAAGATATTTTTTTCTCGTATTTTTCATTTATTTCGAAGTGCATGTGTTGGTGTGCATGTAACTATTTTCCTGCACGTATTGTACATGCAGACATGTATAGTAACTTTGATGTTTTTTCTAATAGTTAATATATATTGATATCGCCTATCTTACTATTTTTATTTTGTATCAATGATTATTGCATTTTTCATAGTTTTTATTTAAAAATACTGCTTTTTTTCTCTCTTTATTAAATAATATACAATATAAAAGTCATCTATACATCAATTTACAAAAGGAAAACACTACTTATTTGTTTACTGAGAATTCTATAAACTATATTTCATATCACATAGCACGAGCCTTAAACCCCAAATGTTATAGATTATACTTGATCCAGCCACACAAGAACCTCAATATTTTGTCTACTGAGTAACTCTCCAGCCTGCCTGTCCACACACAAATGTAATCAGAAAGTAGCATTAGTTGTATTCTTAATTTTCTTGCATTTTATGTCAGTATTAAACATTAAAAACCTCATAAAATCCACATAAAGCTTTGAGAGTGTCTGTAATCCAGTTTTCAAAAACAAATTTTATATTGTTTGTTTTAGTTTGGTGTTGGGGTTTAAGCCTCTCGACCCCGGGAGGGTTATTAGGCAATAGACAAACAAACAAATATACATTAGGCCTGAACATAGTCTAGAATAAAAGTACACTTATATGTGTACACCAAGAAGCGCAGTATACCTGGGTGTATATACCCCTTGGTTGTATACCATGGGTTGTATATTCCTTACTCTTTTGTAAGACTAATATAATATAGTTAAAGGTAACGATTACAGTAATATGATCATTACTACAAATATATTACTATGCTGATGATACAGGAAGATTAATAAGTATCATATGTACATTAGTAGGTGAAGTTACACGCCTGTGCTTGGGTCTCTCCCCATTTCCTACTTGGGCTGGACAGTAGAGCGACGGTCTCGCTTCATGCAGGTCAGCGTTCAATCCCCGACTATCCAAGTGGTTGGGCACCATTCCTTTCCCCCGTCCCATCCCAAATCCTTATCCTGACCCCTTCCCAGTGCTATATAGTCGTAATGGCTTGGCGCTTTCCCCTGATAGTTACCTTGCATTTTTTCCCCCCCTTCTCCCCAACATCTCTCACGCTCTCGCTTTCTCTAAATCTCTCGCTCTCTTTTTCGCCCTCTTGCGCTCTCCCTCACTCTTTTTGCTGTCTCTCGGTCTCAGAAAATTTAATATGAACCATTTTTTGTTATTAACACATTTAGGTACATCAGCATTTGTGCAGCTACCCTAGACTGTGCTAACCCCTGGCGGCCCTGTGCCAACCCTGGCGGCCCTGTGCCAACCCTGGCGGCCCTGTGCTAACCCTGGCGGCCCTGTGCCAACCCTGGCGGCCCTGTGCCAACCCTGGCGGTCCTGTGCCAACCCTGGCGGCCCTGTGCCAACCCTGGCGGCCCTGTGCCAACCCTGGCGGCCCTGTGCTAACCCTGGCGGCCCTGTGCCAACCCTGGCGGTCCTGTGCCAACCCTGGCGGCCCTGTGCTAACCCTGGCGGCCCTGTGCTAACCCTGGCGGCCCTGTGCCAACCCTGGCGGCCCTGTGCCAACCCTGGCGGCCCTGTGCCAACCCTGGCGGCCCTGTGCTAACCCCTGGCGGCCCTGTGCCAACCCTGGCGGTCCTGTGCCAACCCTGGCGGCCCTGTGCTAACCCCTGGCGGCCCTGTGCCAACCCTGGCGGCCCTGTGCTAACCCCTGGCGGCCCTGTGCCAACCCTGGCGGCCCTGTGCCAACCCTGGCGGCCCTGTGCCAACCCTGGCGGCCCTGTGCCAACCCTGGCGGCCCTGTGCCAACCCTGGCGGCCCTGTGCCAACCCTGGCGGCCCTGTGCCAACCCTGGCGGCCCTGTGCTAACCCCTGGCGGCCCTGTGCCAACCCTGGCGGCCCTGTGCTAACCCCTGGCGGCCCTGTGCTAACCCTGGCGGCCCTGTGCCAACCCTGGCGGTCCTGTGCCAACCCTGGCGGCCCTGTGCCAACCCTGGCGGCCCTGTGCCAACCCTGGCGGTCCTGTGCCAACCCTGGCGGCCCTGTGCCAACCCTGGCGGCCCTGTGCCAACCCTGGCGGTCCTGTGCCAACCCTGGCGGCCCTGTGCCAACCCTGGCGGCCCTGTGCTAACCCCTGGCGGTCCTGTGCCAACCCTGGCGGTCCTGTGCCAACCCTGGCGGCCCTGTGCCAACCCTGGCGGCCCTGTGCTAACCCCTGGCGGCCCTGTGCCAACCCTGGCGGTCCTGTGCCAACCCTGGCGGCCCTGTGCCAACCCTGGCGGCCCTGTGCTAACCCCTGGCGGCCCTGTGCCAACCCTGGCGGCCCTGTGCCAACCCTGGCGGCCCTGTGCTAACCCCTGGCGGCCCTGTGCCAACCCTGGCGGCCCTGTGCCAACCCTGGCGGTCCTGTGCCAACCCTGGCGGCCCTGTGCCAACCCTGGCGGCCCTGTGCCAACCCTGGCGGTCCTGTGCCAACCCTGGTGGCACTGTGCCAACCCTGGCGGCCCTGTGCCAACCCTGGCGGCCCTGTGCCAACCCTGGCGGCCCTGTGCCAACCCTGGCGGCCCTGTGCCAACCCTGGCGGCCCTGTGCCAACCCTGGTGGCACTGTGCCAACCCTGGCGGCCCTGTGCCAACCCTGGCGGCCCTGTGCCAACCCTGGCGGCCCTGTGCCAACCCTGGTGGCACTGTGCCAACCCTGGCGGCCCTGTGCTAACCCTGGCGGCCCTGTGCCAACCCTGGTGGCCCTGTGCCAACCCTGGCGGTCCTGTGCCAACCCTGGTGGCACTGTGCCAACCCTGGCGGCCCTGTGCTAACCCTGGTGGCCCTGTGCCAAGCCCTGGCGGCCTCTTTAAAATATGTCCTCAAATTCTCCCTTGATTGCTCTCCCTTCTTATTTTTTATGGTTTCTCCCTCCATCCCATCTCCCTCTGCCCCTCCCTCCCTCACACCCCTCCCCAGCCTGCCTCATAACACCATTCTGGTCTCAACGTTAGCAGTTGCTAATCAAATGCAGCCTCACAACATCTTAAATAGCCCCCGTCACGTGGCGGGACTCGACCCGGCTTCCTCTGCTTAAATGAACTCAAATTACTAGGGCTTTTTATCTACCTGTTGCTCGCATAACGTTCATTTTGACTGCGAAATTCAATGTTTATTTTTGTCTTGGTTTTATATCTTATGGATTTTGCTATTTAGGCCAGGCTATTTTATGGATTTCCTTTATTAGGCTAAACCATATTGTGGATTTCCTCCATTAGGCTACGCAATCTTATGGAGTTCCTTCATTAAGCTATATCATTTTATGGATTGCCTCTATTAGGCTAAGCCTTTTATGGATTTTAATTTTTAGACAAGGCCTTGTATGGATTTCCTCCACTGGGTTATGATGGGTTCCCGGCGGAATTTTATTTTCTATCTATGGGACGTCATTTGTAAAGACAGTATAGCATAGCACTTGCTATATAAGTGCTATAGCATATAGCACTTGTACATTTGTACAAGTGGTGTAGTTTAACATACAGCATAGGAAGCTTAGCATGTCGCAATCTCACAGGATTATTAAGAGGCTACCAAAAACAGGTGATTTGCATATTGTAACGAACTGGAGGCCACTTTCCTTGCTCATCCAGGATTACAAAGTAATTTCAAAATTGTTGGCCATTGGAATTGATCTAAGATTGCAATGGATAAAATTATATCAAAGGAACAGTTCTGTGGTGTGAATGTTCAGGATGAGTTAGACAACTTTGAGAGAGCCACAGGCGCTGTCATTAACAAGAACAAGTGGTATTTGTCTTGCAGTTTTCCAACTAATAAGAAAATTGCTATGGAGATTGACAAAGCTATTTGTTAGATATGTATGGTATGGTAGATACCAACCAATTAAACGGACTACACTATGTACAGGTCAGAAAGACGGTGGAATAGTGAGATTGAATGTGTACCATAAGTCATTGGCTATCTTATGTTACTGTTAGAAAGGAAATAATACAATTGAATAGTGTAAATGTTTTTGGGCATTATTTTTGTAAAATACGTGTTAGCTACTTCATACATATGCCAGAGTATACTGACCTTGCCTTTATTTCACCTCGCTTTTATTCTTGGTCAATTGATGTTCTCAGGCGGATTTGTAATATTGAAGGTTGTTAAATAATGATAGTAAGCAAGTGTATGTGCTGTTCTGCTCCCACATATAGTTCCTACAGTAGAGGAGGCATATCCACTTTTTAACTGGCAAGTAATATGGGCAATCCTTCATGTTAAATTTATTGCCCCAAAACAACGTGAGCTATTGTATCGCTATATTCATGAGACCCTCCCAGCTAATGATAGGTTGTTGATGCTGGGTATTATGGGCAACAATAGGTGTGATCAATGTACTGAAATTGAGAATAATATATATTTTATTTCTGTTAGCAGAAAGTTGTTCTTATAAACTGGATTAGAGACACTCTTAAAACTTTATGTGGACCAAGTATTAGAATGGATTTAATTAGGTTTTTAATGTTTCATATTGACATAAAATGCAAGAAAATTAAAAATACAATAATTAAGCTACTTTCTGATTGCATTTTTTGTGTGCGGATAGGCAGGCAGGAGGATTACTGTGTGTGGATAGGCAGGCAGGAGGGTTACTGTGTGTGGATAGGCAGGCAGGAGGGTTACTGTGTGTGGATAGGCAGGCAGGAGGGTTACTGTGTGTGGATAGGCAGGCAGGAGGGTTACTGTGTGTGGATAGGCAGGCAGGAGGGTTACTGTGTGTGGATAGGCAGGCAGGAGGGTTACTGTGTGTGGATAGGCAGGCAGGAGGATTACTGTGTGTGGATAGGCAGGTAGGAGGGTTACTGTGTGTGGATAGGCAGGCAGGAGGATTACTGTGTGTGGATAGGCTGGCAGGAGGGTTACTGTGTGTGGATAGGCAGGCAGGAGGCTTACTGTGTGTGGATAGGCAGGCAGGAGGGTTACTGTGTGTGGATAGGCAGGCAGGAGGGTTACTGTGTGTGGATAGGCTGGCAGGAGGGTTATTCAATAGAGAGTACTGAAGTTCTTGCGAGGCAGGATCAAGTATAACATTTGGGGTTTACGGTTCATGTTCGATGATATGGAAAATGGGTTTACTGAGAATTATATAAAATATATATAAATGTAGTATTTTCCCTTGTAAATTGATGTAAATATTATCTTTATATTGTATATTATTTAATAAAGAAAACAAATCACGTGGACCACGTGTTTTTTGTGATTAATGATTTAACCTAAATTTTCCTATGCAGGCGATGAGTCACAATAACGTGGCTGAAGTATGTTGACCAGACCACGCACTAGAAATTGAAGGGACGACGACGTTTCGGTCCGTCCTGGACCATTCTCAAGTCGATTGAATTTTCCTCATCATGTTCTATGACGAGTTAAAATATATAAAAAGTTGTGGAAAATATACAAAAATATACTTAGTAGAATTATTAGGCTACTTCCTTTAGTAGAATAATTTAATTCTTCCTTTAATAGAAGTAAGTTAATTTGACTATGTACTCATTCTTTGATGATTGGCTGAGCTGGCTCCACATATTGGTCCCTCATCTTAATAAATAATAATTCATTGTGTCGGGGACAGGCAGCCAGGGTGTATTTATACACGTTAGGCTTAGATCGATATCTTTCTCCACCACCGAAGAGCCGAATTATTGACCCCGCCCAGGATGCAACAACCCCACAAGACGCTGACTAACTCCTGAGTACCTACTTACTGCTAGGTGAACAGGGACAATAGGTGATAGGAAATGCGCCCAACCATTTCTGTTCCGTTTGGGATTCGAACCCGGAATTCTCGACTTGAGAACGAACGAACCCGACTTCTACCGGGATACCCTGGAAAACACAAACCGAAACTGTCAATATTTTCCGCTTGTTACAACTTGTAATAAAGCTGTTACAACTTGTAATAAAGTTGTTACAACTTGGCTTAACGTGTTTATAACGTATTAGAACGTTGTTACAACTTGCTATATTGGTTGTTATAACTGGTTAGGAAGTGTTAAAACTTGTTCTAACATTGTAGTTTCGGTGTGTGTTTGGCGGGAAAGTGATGCCTGGCTCCAGACATTGGTGGATGTATATAGACAATAGCTTGATAACTCTCCTGATTACTAAGATGGCGCAAAAGCCTCCATACATAGGGAAACTAACACCAATTAACATAGCAAAATATGCTGTACAGGATTACTTTGAAAACATATACGGATGCCATTCTTCCACTCAATTTGTAACCCATTAACACATCAGAGAAATCTGAAATAGAATAAGGAAGTATTTTTCTTTTGTCTAGGTTAACCTTGACTTGTGGTTATGGACCATGTTGGATGGTGGACAAAATATTGGTGTTTTGGATCATTTTGAATGATTAGCAACCGAGATCGTGACTTCTGTACCATTTAGGTCCATGTTTAGTATTTAGCAAGTCTGTTTCATATCACATATCAAGTTCCTATTTTTTGGAATATTAGCCCAGAAGAAACGTATACTGAATATTTCGGTGCCAAACTGGGGCCCTCTTCAACAGTGAGCGAGAATGATGGTGATGATGTTTACCCTCCTCATGGCTCCTACAGATTTTCTCATTGATACATTAATGTGATTTCTTTGTGCATGTGAAGAGAAGCTCCGTGAGGTGAGCGTTTAGCTTAGCTACCAAACACACACACACACACACACACACACAGGGGGGCCTGGTAGCCTGGTGGATAGTGCGCAGTACTCGTAATTCTGTGGCGCGAGTTCGATTCCCACACCAGGCAGAAGCAAATGCGCAAAGTTTCTTTCACCCTGAATGCCCCTGTTACCTAGCAGTAAATAGGTACCTGGGAGTTAGTCAGCTGTCACGGGCTGCTTCTGGTGTGTGTGTGTGGTGTGAAAAAAAAATAGTAGTAGTAGAAACAGTTGATTGACAGTTGAGAGGTGGGCCGAAAGAGCAGAGCTCAACCCCCGCAAGCACAACTAGGTGAATACAACTTGGTGAATACACACACACATACATACATCATGTCAGGAAGGCGGAGAGCCCGGCTTATGTCATCACTCATACCATATTTTTAAATGAATTCCAACACATGTACCTCTCCGTTTTCTTAAGTCCACCCCTGAAAAAAACAAAAAAAAACTGGCGCAGGGAGATAGGGAGGTGTCCGCCCTCCTCTCTCTCTCTCCGGACTAATCATTCTAGCCCGAGGCTATATCCTGCCTCGGGAAGTTGTGCCGGGTTCTCTGCCCACAGTCCTGATAGGATATTTGCATGGAGCACCACAGCCCGGTGCTCGGGCGTTCCTCACCTTGGCAAATATTAACTTGTTTCACATTTTATCCAGTCTTGTTGGAACTGCTCAATTTGGAAAGTCGGTGGGGTTACAAAAGTTGTTTTATGATGAATTGTTTTTTTCATTGCTATTTTGTTTTATGTGAAAAGTTGTTATTCTGCTAAATTGTGTGTTGGTGTTTATATGTGTGTGTGTGTGTTTACTCTTTGTGCTTATAGAATCGAGTTGTTAGCTCTTGGACCCCACCTTTCTAACCGTTGGGTGTCTAATATACTGATTCTCGACCTATTTTCCTCTTATCACATCTAGCACGTTTCTGTGTGACCCGAGTGTGCAGCCCCCAGGAAGCCTCCCACTACTACTACACCACTATGACGTAGCCTTACATGCCAAGGACAACACGCTGCATGATCATGTTGCATGATGATGTAAACGCTGAATTAATATACACAGATTTCGCGAAAACTTGCGAGAAATGTGATTATGGAAAAGATATTTGTTAGGGCGGGCCTAACAGCTGAGTGGACAGCGCTTCGGATTCGTAGTCCCGAGGTTCCGGGTTCGATCCCCGGCGTAGGCGGAGACAAATGGGCAGAGTTTCTTTCACCCCTGTTCACCTAGCAGTAAATAGGTACCTGGGAGTTAGACAGCTGCTACGGGCTGCTTCCTGGGAATGTGTGTAACAAAAAGGAGGCCTGGTCGAGGACCGGGCCGCGGGGACGCTAAGCCCCGAAATCATCTGAAGATAACCTCAAGATGATGTTATTACACACAAAATGCGCACAAAAGGAATTAATTAGTGAGATGGCTAATTACCCCCATCTAAAGCACTAAATAATAAATCAAGCACAGTACCACCAGGGTTCTGGGTGCTGGCTCCAGTACTTTTTCTCATCCTCATGTCGACAAGAACACAAACTACCGTATCATCCTCATGTCGACAAGAACACAAACTACCGTATCATCCTCATGTCGACAAGGACACAAACTACCGTATCATCCTCATGTCGACAAGGACACAAACTACCGTATCATCCGTTGCAGACGACACTAGGATTTTTAGGAAAGTAGAGAATATAGAGGACACAACACACTTCAAGCTGATGTGAATCAGGTTTTCAATGAGCCACTGTAGAAAACATGTTTAACGAAGTATAAAGCTTCAACTTCCACCCGATGATAAAAACAACGAAAATATCAAAACAGAATTACACATTTAAAACGCACACATCAGATAAAAAAACAATAAAAAAGATGTGGAAGTAATCATGTCGGGAAACCTTACTTTTAAAGAACACAGTAAAGTAGCTGTCACAACGGCATGAAAAGTGACGGGTTGGATACTAAGAACTCTTCAAACGAGATGACAGACCAACTAGTGTTTAAGACACTAGTGTTATCTAGGGTGGAATTTGTTGCACACTCTCAGCTCCGTTCAAAGCTGGAGATATGGGTTACCTGGAGAGCGAACAGGCAACTTTTACTACCAGAATCTATTCAATAAAACAAATAAATTATTGGGACTGCTTAGAGTC